GAAGTGACCTGGTGACCTGACCTTGAGCGAACTGGATCTGAGATTTTAACATGTGCACTGTGCAGGAAAGATGCAACAGGTGTGCCAAAAAAGGACCACTGTTTTTGTGCAGGACCACCACGCTGGGTAGCTGATTGAAAACCACCATTGCCGCTGTATAATACGAAATCAGGCCAATAAAAGTTTAAACGCAGATGCTCACTACCATTCACTACTCATCCATACAAATAAGATTAAGAAATGAGGTAAAATGCATAGGTAACCAATATTGACCGTTTGAAATTTCAACGTAAATTGTGTGTTAGATTTACTGTAATCAGACTTGGATTTCATGGATATTTGTTCGACTTTTCCCGGTCGACACATTCCATTTTATTGACATTTTATCGAAGGGCTGAATTCAAAGTGAAGTACGGGCAAAACAGTGACCTGAAACTACTTTTTTGTAAATTAGGATTACTGATTCCGACAATATATCGTCCTTGGCAAACAGAAAGAATTTTAACCGAAACAGAATATAGGCACAATTCATATATCTCTCTCGGCATGCTCACGACTTTGCTATTCAAAATTGTTCAAGGTTGTGGCGTGAGCTTCTTTTGTAACTGTGTCTAAAATAGATGGCCTCCGAAAAGTTGACCAAATTGAGGGTGACTCCTACGAGCTATGAAAATCGTTCCTGATCGTTCTATTGTTTTGGGTGAGCAGCCATTGCTTATAGTCACTATGCTGAGAAGTAAAAAAAGTTTAATATGACATCTAGAAAATTAATATTTTACACCAAACTGTCATCTATCAACTATGGCGATGAATGAACATTGAACATGCGTGACAATATGGCTTTCAAGAAGCCCTTACTTCATCAGCAGAGAATTTTGAATTAGCAAACTGGCAACAGTCATCTTATCCTTACTTCGACTGTCCACATAGGTTGTCTTCAGAAGCATTTCGTTGACCAAAAGACATATTTTATAACCCTGTGATTTGCATGAAAAACAGCAACTTTGCATCGGAGTCCCACAATAAAATGCATCTCATAATCTCATTTCAACATCTAATTTAAATTGAGCTTTAATTTGGATTCGTCACTGCAGTATGTACAGCGGTGACAATTCTTAACCTAAATATATCGTGATGTTCAAGCCACAGTTAAAGTTTCAGCATCTACTTTGATGCCTCCTGGCATGAGAGAATGACATCAAAACCATAAAACACGTCAGTGACCGTATCCAGGCGGATGTCGCGCTCCGCACACGCGCCATCCCTCCCGGAGATCACGCTCGGCCGCCGTGGACGCCGTGTCCACTTCCACACCGTCCACTCAGCGTCCACCGTCCACGGCACACCCCTGTCGACCGCAGACGCTCCGACGAACAATCACGACCCCGTGCGTGACCGAGCCGCGCCCCACCGGCACAGACAGGTCGGCGCCGCCGGCGGCTCAGGCCGAGACAGCCCCCGGGCGCGTGACCGACTCACCGGGGCGCCGGCCGTCCCCCTGGCAACGGCGTGGCCGCCGGCTGGCCACCGCGTGTGTCGCCTGCGTCAACGCATGGCCGGGGTGAGGAGACGGAAGAAGAGGAGGGACTAGGCGGAGCCCGGGCGGAGGTCAATGTTCGCTACTGCTGAAAGTAGACTAAATTAGTATTCGTTAGGCTGTAATATGATGGTTAATAGTTTATGGTCAACGGTTAATACAATGGTTGTGCTCTTACATTCCCAATAAAGTACTCGATTTATTTTTAGTCAGGTTACCTGACGGAACCAGGCACAAACGCGCAAAAAAAAAAATGGAGGGAATTACAGCTTTATGCCGAAACAGTGAGTTATGAACAATGCATTGTCCTTCGTGGCATCAAAGTGGACACACGCAAATACTTACTATAGCAACAACCCACATTTTCTTAACCTGCAGATCCGCATTCAACACCATTTCGTCGAATGTCGCTGCTCCACGCAGCCAAATTAACATTGTCGGAGGGCGATCACAATAGAAATGAGTATGAAACCCATTCAAGTTCTCAAAATAGGCGCTGTCTCTGGGCAATTACAATAATCATGAATGTGAAGACAAGTTTTTCGTCATTTTTTTAGTAGGAACATTCATCCAGGTCAATTCTCCATACCAAAGGCAAGGCGTTTTATAAATTTAGACTGGATTCCCCGGCTTCGAACTCATTACAAGCATGGGATGAATAACATATTTGCTACGCTGATATGCAATGTTGCAGGAAAAAAATGAGTCTAAGCGACAAGATATTGCGTCCAGCCGGCGCCTATGAATTCGTTTAAACAAAAATAAAAAGGCATACAATATACCTGACATGGTAACTATTTCCTCATTTTGCTTGCATACGCCCCACTCTGCTTCCGAAAAGCTTCATGGAAAAGTACGGTCACATACAGCTCCTGATTCTTGTTTGAGATGGTTTAGGTTTCTTTTTAGAAAGATCGAGACTCGACATGCTTGGAAATTTCCAGTAACAGAACATAAATCAGCTCCGTTAATGGGATCTCAAAACCATGTCACGTCTCCGCCCGACCACCACGAAACTCATAGACAGTATCCCAATAGAGCTGACCTTTCAAAAGATAACCTGCGACTCAATAGGGTATCGACACTTGGCGGTTCGATCGTTCCGGGTACTTCGCCACACGCCGCGAGTCCCAGGCAGCTGCGAGCCGCGGTAACCAGCGGACAATTGTTCGCTGAAACCACTGAGGTTGGCTGGCAGGATATTGGCGCTCGAAATTCGACAGCCAATAGTCCAGCGGCACTCCCCGGATTTCAGGGCGCAGGCCTTCTGTTCAGCCACGGGAGATTGTTGATGAGTCGCTGACTGCTGATTGTGGAGTTGGATGGAAACATGGATCCGTGGCAATGCTTGTTAGTATATTCTCCATGCCGCCTCGCTCTCTTCGATAGATGCGCTGTTCAATGCTTGTTGAATGCCCGTTGAAGCTTCACACTATGTAGCTATCTTCATTGTGTCATGATGGATAACTAAAAATGACGAACATAACATCAACATTCGTGAGAATCGAACTCTTGCAGCTAGTGTAGGTACATCATAAACTTACGATAACCACAGGAAAGATAAACATCATGAGCTTAGCACACTGTCAACTGTCACACTTTGAACCCAAACTAGGCCAGTTCTTCGAGCAAGACGCCATTGGGAGGAAACAAGGAGCGCTGTGCACTTCGACCCAGCCGTCGCCACTGCATGCCGACGGAAGCACTGAACGTCAGCCAACCAGCTGCCGAGTCCCGGGGGCAGGAGCCACGCTGTCGAACCAGACGGGCCAGACGTGAGGGAAGCGCCTTCCGCCTCCAAGTCGGACAATCCTTTGAAACTTGGGTGGTCATAAAAAGAGCACCCGCCATGGTAGCAAGTCGGCCAATTCATAGGAGCTTCAGTGAAAAGACCATCGATTCATTCGTTACGCAGTCAAAAGGCTGTCGAAGCATGACCAAACAACGGTCGATTCCACACTCGAGACACGGTCGATCTAAGGCCCAAAGGCGGTCGATAGACTGCCAGGCTTAACTCGCAACGCAGTCAATCCCACGACCGAGCTATATCCGGCCGGTCGATGAACGGTCTGAACGCGTCCCCAGCCACTACTCTTCCTCGCCCGCCGAGAGGTCGGGTCGGGGCAGCACAGGTCGGGCAGCTATGTTCCTCAACGACGGAGGTCGACCATCGTCGGCAGAATCGAAAACACATTCCACTCGGACCCCGGCTTCAGTGCTGCAGAAGAGCTCCAGACTAAATAATTGTGAAGTTCAGAGCCGGCAAACAGAGCTGTTTTGAGCGCGCAAGCTTCCTCTCACCAAGTAGAGCTGATTATTTGGTCAACACTCAACAGTGCATTAGATAGACAAATATGATTGATGGGCATTCTCATCAAACCACATCGCCTTGTTCGACGCGAGTTTACATCGAGATATGTCTACTACAGGCACAGAGCGGGGGAAAATTTTTAACTTAATAAAAGTTGTCAAAACAAGCATGGACCAAGATCCGTTTGAAGATGAGTCGCTTGGGTAAACATTATACGCTCTATGGAGCACAGAAAACCACTGCTAACGAAGTCCCAGCAAATCTCAACCAGCAAAACAGGGTTGTTTTGTGTAATTTAGCCTTTCAATTAAATACTTGAAAGTTCACTTTAGATAATTTTCATTGAGCTGGACGAAACAACTGAAACATGACTACTAAATATTAATTCCATTCTTTTCAAAAATAGCAAGTCATTTCTCATTGTTAACATTTCTAGTTCCACAAAATGTAGTGGAAAAATTAGGTAGAGCATCAGTGCGATATGACCCCCAACAAAGCTAAGAGGCGTAAAGCAACTAAAGAAACTAGCTTGGTGTATAAATCAGCGTTTTTTTTTTTCTTTTTCTATGAGCATGGGCACATCGGTTGGAAAAGTTGAGTTTTCTGGGAAAAGCGCAAGTATATTCTTAAGCACGAAGTGTAGCTTCTCCGAAAGATACAAGAGACATTTCACTGAGGAGAGCGTGAGCAGCCCATCATAAATTAATATCCGTACCTACTCAGGAAGCTGCGAGCGAAAATTGTAAACCTCCTGTTCCGACCGATCAATACAACAAGAAGAGCGTTCCAAACCCATCCAGACACAACTGTTACGTAAGGGATCATGTAAGTTTCCATTTAGAATGGCTTCGTCGGCTGCCTCCCACACTCTGCGTTTGGGCTTCAGGGTAGAGCTAGCCGACGGATCGACATGCCCAACCACGGCGCCCGTCCCTTCACCGAACGTGGCCCGACCAGAGGCCGTCGAGTGGTGTACCCCGGTACCGCCCCTTCGGGTCAGGCCACGAAAGAAATCCATCCATCACCCGAGCCAGCCGACCGTGCTCCAGCACAAAGAGCGCGCTGCCCGTCACGGAGCGGTCAGCAGGTCATCACCATCACCCCACGCGTGTCGCTGTCTCCGGCCGCCGCCCCTCCTCGCCGGCTGAGGTCACACCTTCCCTGGACACGGGCGGGCCACGCCGACCAGTGCCCCTGCGGCGAGACATGGTCGGCGGCCAGACGCCAGCCCCCGGGGCGGTTTGAACCGGATCGCCGGCGGCGTCGGCGCGCGCGCGCGCGCAGCCCCCGGCCAGTCTTTAAGGCGCGCGCCGACGGCCGGACGGTCAGAAGCGTGGTCGATCTGCCCTGGAGCGCACACGAGCCACCTCGCCGGGAGGTTCGAGCGACATGGGTCAGCAGGACGAGATTCGCACACAGCCGCCGGGAGAGGTGCAGCCGGAGGTGGAGCGCCACGGCCGGTGCTCGAGCGAAGAGGACCACTACCGCCCGCCGATGGAGGAAGTCGACATGAGCCGGTCTGCTGTCGAAGCCTCACCGCTCCCGTCTCGGCCACCGGCGGTGTCCACCGCAGCGGTGCTCGGCTACATCCCATCCGACTCCAGCCAGGACACTGAGATGAACGTGGTCGTCGACTGCGTGGTGGCCACCAACCCGGACATCGAGCGAGCGCTGCACGACGAAACGCACAAGGAGCGATTCGAGCTGTTTATCTCTGAACTGAAGCTGGATGAGACGCCCGGCGTGCCACGGAGCCCCTCCTCACAGACGGTGGTTAGCGGACGGCGAGGGAAGCTGCCGATCAGACAGGTGAGAGGAGAGAGAGAGAGAGAGAGAGAGAGAGAGAGAGAGAGAGAGAGAGAGAGAGAGAGAGAGAGAGAGCCGTCTGATCAACTGGAGTTCAGCGCCAAACAGTCTTCGAGCTGCTGGGACTTCAAATGGTCGTTGCGGTCTCAGTATTCGTGTCCGGCTCTCAGGGTTCGAGTCAAAACAGCAAAATGGACAGTTGCCATTCAAACCAAATCGAATGACTCACAGGGTTTAAAAATATATGAGCTTAATTGCAATTTACTACTTCAATCTAACTTTGTGCGTTCCCCAAACAGCGAGAACAACGGTTTCCGCTTCTCTATGCTGCGCCGTCCTAGCCGAACAGCTGACGGCAGTGGTGCATAACAAGGCTGTGATAGATGGTCTCAGATACTGGCTGGTAGCTACCGTATGCATAAACATTTGTCCTGCACCGAGAGCCGCTCATGACCGTAGCAAGCCGTAACCATTGCACGATGACTTTGAGGACTGCCAGGTCGCTGGGTCGAGCTGGTAAAATGATCCCGCATTTAACTACTCATTTCCTGTTGATGGTGAAACTGTTTCCGCATTGCCTGTAGTTCAATCGGATTGGTTGATTCTCTAAACTAATAACAATATCAGGCAAGGCAGCATATAATTCTTTGAAAATCACGGTTTCATTTCACAAAACTTTTAATTTGAATTTCAAATACTATAAACATCTAAATGACAAACAATACTGAGAATATCAAATCATCTTTCAGCGCTGAACAAATAATCCTCTCGCTCCTCTGTCGGTTGGGCCCGGTCAGGTCAGATCCGGAGTCTCTCCCATCCAGACGATCACCCACCGAGAGCGTGATCTCTCCCGTGACGTCACACGGTGACCGCGCGATCAATACTCCTTCACTCAAACTGGTGCGGTACCGTCTGACCCGAGAGGCATGGGAAAAGCGGTAAAAGAGCCAAAGTTGTAGTTGATAAATCTAGCACAATATCTAAAAAATGCATGGCTTCCAAAAGCATTGTCAAAACAACCTCGAGAACACGAGCCAATGATCAAAAAAGGAGCTGGACATTGGACAGACAGAAGCCTTCTTAATTCCAATCCCCCGCAAACATCAAACACTCAAATTATTCGCTTTGATTCACAAAATGTTCGCTCATTGCCGCTGAAATCTCTAGCCAGACAGTCGACGTCCACAACATTTCAACCCCAGCCTGTGACCCGATGCCCAACTCTTTAACGTCTGCCTCACCACCGGTGTTTTGGACACTTCCCTGACAGTCTGCGACCTTCCTTCTCAGGTGATCGCCGCCCTGGCCGTCTCCGTCGGCTCGATGCTGGTCGGCTTCACGGCGGCCTACACGTCTCCGGCGCTGGCGTCCATGCAGCTGCCCGACAGCCGGCTCAAAATCACAGACGAACAGGTAAGAACGAGACGACTTTACGATGTGAGACGTAAGGTTAAGAGTGACGGGGTGAGGTGCCGATACGATACGATACGATACTATCAGGAGACGAAGCGGAATGTGATCTTTGACATGGACCATGTTCACTACCTGACCCTCGGCCATCCGGTTTGCGACATCCTAAATGACCACGTGAATGTTCAGATCGAAACCCAAGCCCAGGTAGAACAATGCCAGTCCGCAAAATTGACACCAATTGCATAAGCAGGAACAGGGAGCAGTTGCATAAGACGCCCGGGGTCTCAGGGTCCAAATGTTAGGTGACTGTCAGGGTCACGGGGTGGTACGGCCGGCGGGTCGAGTCAGCGCCAGGAGTCAACATTTCGGGAGCCAAATAGGACACCCATGCCAATTCAGCCCAGCCAACGTCTGCTGGCGTTCGGCACAAATAACTCGGTGCCGCCTTGGCCATATGCCATGAGCGTCTGGACGGAACCCATATTCCACATGGAAAATGACAGACGCATTTCTCTCATGAGGACGCTCATGGTGTCCAAATACGGCAAGTTCCACTCGGTCCAATCATCTCGCGATTAAACATCCCAAGAGGGTGTCATGTGATAATCAAGCACGTGTGCTTGAAAATTACATAACCGCAAACATCACACCACAGCGTTTGCGCTACCTCATCTATAAACAATTTCATCTCAGGCGGTGTACAAGGGTCGCCGTTACAGGGTGGGCCGACCCGTCTGCCGGGACCCGCCATTTCTCTGACAGCTCTGACCAGACAGCGTGACACTGGCCAGTTAACTGTGACATAAAAACGCCGCTCTCACACGCGCGCCCAGCGTCGCGCGCTGTCGAGACTGAGGCCACATTACGTTTACTTTGAAAACAAGTCTGCTGGTCACAGCCACACTCCCACTCTGGGGAGGAATTCAATGTCTAGAAGCTAAAAAGTAAGAGCATGAAGGCTACTAGTCTTGGGCGTTCTGTTAACTGTACCACAGTTATGATTTGGCGAGGGATTTTAATGCAACAAAGTCGCCACTCGCCACCAGTTACAGCCGCAAAGATGCAAAAAGAAAGTAGATCACCAAACCAAACAAATAATTCCATTCTCCCTTTGCGTCGGCGCCGCCCATGCATATCGATTGACCCCGGGCCGGGCCGGTTTGTTTGTTTGTTTATTGGGGCTTTAGGGCGCGTCGACTGCAAAGGTCATTTTGCGCCCATCCGGGCCGGGCCGGGTCGGGTCGGCGGCCGACGGTTGGTAACCGGTTCGATCCGGTGCCGGTTCGTCGGTGCGCGCCCGGACCGGGAGCCCTGCCAGCCACGCGGCCGACACGCGTCGGAATCGACGGACCGGCCCGCGCGCTGTCCGGAAACTGACGACACGGCGCACCTCCGGCCGCTGGTAACGAGGAAACGCCGCAGTACGCCACCAGATTCAATTCGAGGCTTGATTGGGCCACGGCGACTGGGCGTAGATTTGTGTCCGGCGACAGCGCAGGAGCCAGGACAAATGGGCGAGCCAAGTGTCCCTAACCAATGGCAGCAATTCTAATTGCAGGACCAGGGTCAACTGGATGACAAATTGCTTGTTATCGAAGGCATTCGAGGACCGTTAGTTTAAAAGGTTAGGCTGAGCTCATCGACCCCAACACGTAGGCTTGCACTAAAGCGGTCGTGCAGTGCCCTGGCTAATTCATCATTCAGAAAACAAATAGCGGGCGGCACTGTGCCATTAAAGGCTGAAGGGGAATTTATTTAGAGAAGCGGTGAGCAAACATGGCTTTTAAATACCTGTCGCCTGGCGATCGCAACTGTGCAATGTATAAGTGATGTGTTTCGCTCTCCAAATTACATGAACGAAGTGTCGTAACAAATTAGTCGAAAGATACCTGTCCCGATCTACCAAGTCAAATGTCCCTTCGGATGTCAGGGATGTAATACAAAATACTCAACTAAACAATGATAAAAGCGACCGAACTTCACACGGCTCTGACCCCACCGTCTCCCCTGTCCGGCAGGCCTCGTGGATCGGCAGTCTGATGCCGCTGAGCGCGCTCTGCGGCGGACTCGGCAGCGGCACCCTCATCGAGAAGCTCGGACGCAAGATCACCATCATGGGCACCGGCCTGCCGTTCATGCTGTCGTACGCGCTCATCGCCTTCGCGCAGGACGTCTACATGATTTACGTGGCGCGCGTGATCGCCGGTCTGTGTATCGGCACGCTGTCGCTGGCGATGCCCGTGTACCTGGGCGAGACCATCCAGCCGGACATCCGCGGCACGCTCGGACTGCTGCCCACCACCATCGGAAATACCGGTTAGTGGACATCACAACTCCGGCAGTCGATGTCCCGATGATTACTCCTTGACTTGGTTTTAATTCCCAATATAAAAAGGCATGTTTTTAAGGACAGTGACCTTTGCGACCACATGTCTGCCAAACTCATCATAACAAGTGAAAAACGTCGCAGGATGATGTAATGAAAGCAAACTTCAGACCAGCCATGCTCAGAATCTCACAAACACCGGGCCCCTTCTGCGCCGTCTCCGTCTTTGACGTGGGCAGTGGGGCGTCTGGTCAAGGTTCTTTTGGCTGACGCGCTCCGTTCTCGCTGTCCGCAGGTATCTTGGTGTGTTTCCTGGTGGGCACGTACCTGCGCTGGGACCACCTGGCGCTGTTCGCCGGCTGCATCCCCGTGCCGTTCCTGGTGATGATGTGGTTCGTGCCCGAGACGCCGCGGTGGTACGTCACGCACGGTGAGTCCTAGACACGGGTCGGGGCGCGGTGGCACAGTGCGGGAAAGCAGACAATTCTACCGAGCTATTCGCGCTGTTCACTTTTGTCCGAATTTGATGGCAGCTCAACGATAGCTTGAAAGATCAAATCGTGCTGTAAATGACGTGTTTGATATCTTCGCTTTAATAATAATGCAGTAGGTATTTCTGGGTTCTTCATCTCGTTTTTAACATGTGTTGTGTTGGGTGTATCGTTGATGGGTTGATGTCTGAGACTCGTGTTGACCGACCACTCCTTGTTCGGCGGCAGGTAACATGAAGGAGGCGGCCAAGTCTCTGCGCTGGCTGCGCGGTAAGGACGTGGACATTACCGACGAGCTGAACAGTATCACCGAGCACATCACGACCGCGCAGAGGACGCACACCTCGCTGCGCGACCTGCTCTCGCCGCACTACCTGCGCGCGCTGGCCATCGCCCTGGCGCTCATGTTCTTCCAGCAGATGTCGGGCATCAACGCCGTCATCTTCTACTCGGTCAGCATCTTCAAGTTCGCCGGCAGCACCATCGACGGCAACCTGTGCAGCGTGGTGGTCGGCTTGGTCAACTTCGGCGCCACCTTCATCGCCAACGTGATGATCGACCGTCTCGGTCGGAAGATCCTGCTCTACATCAGCAGCGCGCTGATGGTCGCCAGCCTGGCGGTGCTCGGAGGCTTCTTCTACCTCAAGGACATGACGAGCCAGACGGAGCTGGTGGCCGAGCTCGGCTGGCTGCCGCTCGTCTCGTTCATGGTGTTTGTGGTAGCGTTCTCGGTCGGCTGGGGACCCATTCCGTGGCTGTTCCTCGGTGAGGGCCTGCCTAGCCGCATCCGCGGCAGCGCCGGCTCCGTGGCCACCGCCTTCAACTGGGCCTGCACGTTCGTCGTCACCAAGACGTTCACTGACATGATCCATTCGATCGGCGCGCACGGCACCTTCTGGGTGTTCGGCGCGTGTACGGCAGTCGGTCTGCTCTTCACCATCGGATTCATGCCCGAGACGCGCGGCAAGACGCTCGAGGACATCGAGAAGAACCTCTTCACCACCAAGCAGGGCAGTATGCGGAAGCGGTCCTCTGTGCCGGCTGAGCTGTAGACTGTCCGAGTCGACGGCGGCTGCGCGGTGCCGCCTCTTCCCTGGTTCCGATCCATGTGATACGCTACAGTCAGGTCGCGAGCGAGCGCAACCCGATGCTAAGAGTCGGCCGCCAATGATCTTGATGTGCGATGTTTTTATGGAGGAGAGACGCTCGAGTGTTCTCTGTTTGCCGCGTCCAGCGAGCGAACGAAGCGAAATGTTTGCGATATTGTACAAATCGTGGCGCATTTGTCACCGAAGCGGCGATATCGCTCCCGCTGCGCCGCGTATAGGTACTGTATGTCATATTGACCCAGTATTGTGGCGATTGTGTATGTGTATGCTGTATATTGTATTTATGGATACAGCGACGATACGAATAATGTAAATATGTTAACATTGTAAATGGTGTCATAAATGTTATATGCCAATAAATCTATCGTTGGTTATTTATACTTTATACATCTACCCTTTTCCGTAGCTCGGTCAATGACATGGCCCGGAATTCGGAAACTAAAAAAACTCACAATATCATGAATACGATCGCTACACAGCACTCAATTAACGCTAAATGAAGCAAAAAATATAGAAAATAGCATAATGGGAGAGTAAAAAGAAAAAGATGTGCATTTTCGTAATGCATCGAAGCCAAGAGGTTCTAGCTATGTATTCATGATCTACACTACCCTTCGTTGGATTTATCGACTAAAATGCATCTGATGCCCATTGCGTTCAGGCTGCAGTGCCTATTACTCCAAATGCACCAAGCAATTCGATTACGAGATATCGGCTCAAAACATTTATAACCACGTAACAATAAGTCAGTGAATGTCATGTCCAGTGATAATAACGTTCTCACAAATTGGTGTATGACCACTGGTCAAAGTTGGCCGTAATCATCAGTCAAACTCCGTTAGCTATCCTTCAGCCATCCCAAGCTCGCAAAATGGACGGGTGATTCTAATATTTGTAGCAATACGGCGCGCCGTGCAGGCGAAATATGAAAAAAGTTTTACGAGACCACTGGTAAAACTGGCTTGTTTGTTTTGTTGGGTTGATTGTTGAACTCTTTAGGTCTAACGAGATTACAATAGTTTGGGCATATAGATTCACTGACTTTTATTATGCTTCTTAGAGGTAGTGGTGCGCTGTACTTTGCTTATTTTATTCGTGTGCAATTTAACTGTAGGTAAATTTTTAAACGTGTAGGTACTACTGTACTCAGTATGGAATCTAATGTTATGCTGTTTTCGTAATTTACTGATTTTAGGCCTATGACTTCGCCTGTAAGTGGAGATTGCTCTATTGGCGATTATGCAAATAAATATATAAATAAATCATTGCAGAGCCGGGAGGATAATACGAATCAGCGAAAGACTTTGGTCCGGGTGGGCACACTGGTGCAACGCCGGGGCTGAGCCCATCATGTGGACAGGCCACCCAGCCCGCTAACCGTCATCGCACCCGGCTACAGGTCTGCTCCCGGGGTGAAGCTACCCGCATGGGACAAAGGTGACCGTCCAGCCCGGATCATGGGGTTGAGGTGAGGAGGAGGGGGATTTGAGTATCCTGAGGATAGAAACGACGGAACGGAGAAAAAGCTGGCTCACTGTTTATCGGTGTTATGGGTAAGCTGATCTGGTGTTGTTCTGTGGCCAAAACTCGCCTCACGCGCGCCGCCGTCGACCTAAATGGGAGATAATTTAGCTAGATGAGCCAAAACTTGAAGACTGTAGGACGTTGTTTGAACGACATATCGCATTAATGTGGCAGACTGTACGACAGACTCTGCCAATGAACGGTACATGCATGGCATTACAGAGAGCTAGCGGGCAAGACATCTGCATTGCACAAAGCACTCCTGCTACCTGGCGGCAACGCCGGGAAACTCACCCATCACTTGAGCTCGGCAGATGGCGCAGGTGTCGCACTCGACGTCCCAGCGCCACATGGCCACCGCGTTCCACTTCTTCAGAGCGAACATCTTCTCCGGCCGAGGGGCCTGATCCACGTCCATTGCGTCCGGGGTCACCTCCACGTTATTGTTGTTGTTACTAGCCTCCATCTGAAGAGGTGTGGGGTGAGAACATGTCAGCTTTTGCCAGTGGTTCAGGGCAGCTTTACTATGCCATGCCTGCACCCTCAGACTAAAAGCTGGATCAAGGAGGAAAAGACATGAGGGACATATTGAAGAGAGAGAGAAAGAGAGAGAGAGAGAGAGAGAGAGAGAGAGAGAGAGAGAGAGAGAGAGGGAGAGAGAGAGAGGTGGAGAGTGGAGAGAGAGAGAGGTGGAGAGAGAGAGAGAGAGAGAGAGAGAGAGAGAGAGAGAGAGAGGTGGAGAGAGAGAGAGAGAGAGAGAGGTGGAGAGAGAGAGAGAGAGGTGGAGAGAGAGAGAGAGAGGTGGAGAGAGAGAGAGAGAGAGGTGGAGAGAGAGAGAGGTGGAGAGAGAGAGAGAGAGAGAGGTGGAAAGAGAGAGAGAGGTGAAGAGAGAGAGAGAGAGAGAGGTGGAGAGAGAGAGAGAGTGAGAGAGAAAGAGAGAGAGAGAGAGAGAGAGAGAGAGAGAGAGAGGTGGAGAGAGAGAGAGAGAGGTGGAGAGAGAGAGAGAGAGAGGTGGAGAGAGAGAGAGGTGGAGAGAGAGAGAGAGAGAGAGAGAGAGAGAGAGAGAGAGAGAGAGAGAGAGAGAGAGAGAGGTGGAAAGAGAGAGAGAGGTGAAGAGAGAGAGAGAGAGGTGGAGAGAGAGAGAGAGAGAGAGAGAGAGAGAGAGAGAGAGAGAGAGAGAGAGAGAGAGAGAGAGAGAGAGAGAGAGAGAGAGAGAGAGAGAGAGAGAGAGAGAGAGAGAGAGAGAGAGAGAGAGAGAGAGAGAGAGAGAGAGAGAGAGAGAGAGAGAGAGAGAGAGAGAGAGAGAGAGAGAGAGAGAGAGAGAGAGAGAGAGCAGGGACAGAAGGTGGGAGGGAGAAGAGCAGAGAGTGAGAGAAAAAGATTAGAGAGGGATGGAAAGCAGAGGTAGGAGAGGGAGGCAGTGAGGGAGGGGAAAACAGAGGGAGAGCAACAGGAAAGACAGACAGGGACATAAGGAGGGAGAGGGACGAGAGGGTGGGAGAGAAATAGAGATAGTAAAGAGGGAGAGAGCAAGCAGGAGAACAGAGAGGAGAAGTGAATCCTGAAAAGAGAATACAATCATAGCTCCAGATCACCCACTGACTGCTTCTCAGCTTGTGTTGGCTATCAGCACACTCCTAACTTACTGTTAATGTTAAAAAATGGTTTTACCTACTAACTTGCAAAAATGGAGGGAAAGAAAAGTTGGTGAGAACTCTTGTCTCTTATGCAACACCATGGGCATGAACTGACAGAAACAGCTAAGGAAGTGAAATTACACAGCTGACAGCAACATGTCTGGAGATTGGAAAACGAAAGCTCAGTCCTTGTTCATGTTCGGTCACTTTTACTTCACAGTTCACACTGGGTATACTGCACCCCCGCTCCCCCCCCCCCTGTCCCAATGATTCATTACTCCTTTCTGGGCCTGCTGTTGTGTTTGTTGTTAATATCATAATCTGGAAGGACCATACCTGTGATTCAAATTGCATTTGTTGGTAAACTGAATCAGAATATTAATTTTTAATTATGCTGTTAGATATCTCCCAGATAAATTCAAAATTCACAGAAAATTAGATGAACAAATTTCATGAAAATAAAATGTTATGAAGCTGAAAAAATGTTTTCTCGCAATAGTTGAAATTAAAATTATTTTGTCATCTTTTTAGAATAATGCTAAATGGTTGGTTCTTACCTTAGCCAATTTATCTCTCTCCAGATAAATCAGATCTATTGAAGCTACAGGGCCTTGAGGATCAGGATTTACTGGAAAATGGACCGCTCGTGCCCTGCGGTCACGATCCGAAAAGCTGAAATTGAGAATTGAAATAATAAATGTTGATGCTGCTTTCATTTGAATCATCAAGGTCGCTCAATTTATGTAGCCAAAATCAGCACACTTTCAAAGGTCATTTGACTATGTGCTACCAAATTAAAGGGAAACCTTCAATCGGGCGTTTGGAATCGTGACTTTTCTAAGCAGCGATATTGTGTTGCTTTTTTACGCATTTTGCCTTATTTTTTTTAGATAAAGTAAGGACCTCAGCCAGTAAGAACATTTTGGGATGAGCTCAATAGTCAGCCCTGCACGACTTAGCCGTTCTCGTGATAAATCATGGTCCATGATGCATGGCCAATGGCCATGCATTGCTAGCGGGTGCCCAGCCACTGATTGACTAGATCGACTAGATTTCGGCGCAATCTAAACCCAGTCATCAGTCAATGCGGGATTATTGCTGGCGGAACTATTAACCGCGCCCCTTTGGGGTCTGCTGAGCAGCGCGCCCCGTTTGGGGGGGCATTTTGCCCCCCCCCCCTAACCCGCGACCGCCTGGGGGGGTCGGATCCGACCCCCTCCGTTTTTCTTGAATAACTTATGAACCGCTTACGCTATCGACTTGAAACTTGGCTACCTTCTCCCCCATCAATTTGACGTCTTCTGTGCAATTTTTAAGAAAAAATTTCGATTTTTTTTTTAGATATATCGATTTTAGTGATGTAACTACATGGCGTTTTCAGTCAAAAAGTGGCAAATGTTTAAAAAATCGCCAAAAATCAGGGTTTAAAGCAAATTGCAAATTAAGGACATGAATAGACGCAGCTCAACGAGTTCTTTAAAATGGCTATCTCGGATTTTCTATAAAATGCGTTTTTCACTCCTAAAAATTCAAAAAACTATATTTTTTGGAAAACAGCTAATAAAATCCGAAATTTTGAGAATTTCCAAAAAACCGGAATATATGTTATGAAGCTCTATTAGAACATTAGATATCCCAAATTTCAACTTTCTATCTTGATTTTTGAGCCCCAAATTGTAAAAAATAGCTCCAACATGCATAGGGCATGGTGACGTCATAAGCATTTTCGTGAATTAGAGGCACTTCTGAACATTGCATGTGAAAACAAATGGCACCACTAGATTCCTGGGACAAAGCTCGTCTAGAAAAGTGCATTTTTTATGTTAAAAATAAAAAGTTGAAAAATTGACCTTTTTTCTTAGCCCTCGTTTAGTTATATATGGTATAAACGATTTTTTATGCTTTCAATGCACACTTATCACCAGCACAGTGACTTGGGGGTCACATATAACCATTACCATCGGATTCGGCGTGAAAAATAAGCCATAAAACATGTGTCGGACGCCCATGTAGCAGAAAGTGAAAACCGTGACCTTTCGTGACCTGACCTGACCTTGACCCGTACTTAGTATGACCCCTATACGCACATGGTACCTTCACTAGGTCTTTGATGTCATTTTTGGTGAGTTTCGAGCAGCAACTGTTGATTCCGCTGTCCGTAAGCCTAATCATGCAAAACCCCATAATTTGACCTTTGACCTGACCTTGACCCGAAAGTTGACCTCAATCTTAAAATCTTAAGAGTGCTTTGGGAAGGTCTCCGGCGGGGCTCGATGCGACCATTGGTTCTCGAGATAACAGGGGGGGGTCGGATCCGACCCCCCCCCCAGGCTGTCGTGGGTACGGAAATAGCCCAGGCGGTGCCGGGCTAATATATCGAGAACCTCGCAACATAGCGACAAGCAGCAAACGATGTTAGATAGCCCCAACAAGTAGCTACCTGTTGACCCAATTTCATTGACCCCGGTCGAACCGATGACGTCACAGATCAGGTCAAAGGTCGAATTTTCACCGTTTACAGGCATTTCAAGAAATGTGTTGTAAAATCGAATAAAAAGCATGTCGGTATTGACGAAGTGTCATTTCTAATCTTCCTCAGGTAAATGATAGTAATTCGTATTCGTTTCGGGCTACACTGAGGTAAAAAATTGTTAAAAACCAAATATTTCGGCTTTATTGAGTAGCCTTGTTCACTGGTTTGAAATATGAAATACAAAAAGACGATACAAATGTGATGACATGCGAAACAGGTTCGTGCTATCAATGATCTGTGACTTCCTTTTTTTACACTGTGCATACGCTGAAACAACCATACAGTTCAAATCATCACACATCGTTATGACAGTCGTAATAAGATATTATACATCGTCTGATTCGTATCATCGTCGAAAGTCGGAATCGTATAAGCGCCAGACGGTCTCTTATAAAAATGCATTAAAACCTGTACTTTGGCTATCATGCAAAGACAAGAAAGAGTAACTAGATACTTTTGAGATGCAAAAAAAAACAACAACTATGGTTCCCCATTTTCTCTACCAGTATAACGCCTTTTGGGGCGACTAACGGAGCGAGCGAGGGGGTGGGTCTTGCACGTGCGAAATTTCGAGGGGGTACCTCCAACTGACTTGTGCACGGCACCCTACTGACTGGTCTCTAGCGATGTGCCAAATTTGGGCACAATCGGCCCAGCCGTTCTCGAGATCTGGAAGCGGCACCCTGCACGTGCGCACGTGCAAAATGGGTCCCAACTGACTTGTGCACGGCACCCTAGTAACCGGTCCCTAACTGTGTACCAAATTTGAGCGCAATCGGTCGAGCCGTTCTCGAGATCTGGAAACGACCCCTGCACGTGCGCACGTGCAGCAGCACCCCAACTCTGGCACATGGATATGCAGTGCCTAGTGGGTGCCTACCTACATGCCAACTTTCAGCGCAATCGGCCAAGTAGTTACCGAGATATTGCAACAATTACAAAAGTGACACCTCTTCGTTTTGCACGTGGCACGTGCATAAGGGGTCACCCACATGCATCGGGAATAGTCCAATACTTGGTAGAAGGAATGAAGCTACCCTACAAAAATTACCGCGTGTAAATCGGCCAAGTGGTTGCTGAGATATAAGCCTCGCAAAAGCGTCCGCACGGCCGGCCGGCCGGCCGGCCGCTCATACTCAGAAATTTCCGTTAATTCTACGTAAGACTCCGCTCGCTTCGCTCGCTCCGTAATAAAACTAACACATGTCAACACAAAGCAACGTCCCAAATCGGGCTAATGGTAGCTTTGCCCACCCCCCTATTCATTGTTGACTTGTGTATCTTTATCTCTAGAGCTTCCCGAATCGTTCTTCTTTTCCAGTTCCGTTCAATGGCCAATTGGTTGTAGCTTTTCGCGGGTCCAAATCTCTAGCACATGAGAAGGCGTGTTGTGCTGTAGCCGATGTGTCCGTGCGACCATGTCTTATATCAGCCACATGTTCTTTCAGCCTCGTAAGCTTGGGAGTCTGGGACGTCCACTTTCTCCGACATAAGACTCCCCGCAATCACATTTAATCTGATAGATGACACCCTTTTGCATTTCTGGATCCGTCTTGTCTTTTACTTGAACTAGATGATCTCGAAGCGTTCTAGCTTTGTGCCCTGTTTTGATGCTGTGTTGACGTAAAAGTCTTGCTATGGGCTCGCTCAGTCCTTGCACGTAAGGTAAAGAAATGTACGTTGTTCGGCTTGTTTCTTCATGTGCATCTGTCCTATTTGCTTTCTTCTGCGCTAATCCCTTTTTAATCACATGATTTGGGTATCCGTGCTGCTTGAACACTTTCCCTAAATGCTCCTTTTCTTTCGCTTCCGCTTCTTTGATAGCACGAACCTGTTTCGCATGTCATCACATTTGTATCGTCTTTTTGTATTTCATATTTCAAACCAGTGAACAAGGCTACTCAATAAAGCCGAAATATTTGGTTTTTAACAATTTTTTACCTCAGTGTAGCCCGAAACGAATACGAATTACTAAAAAGCATGTCATTGAAAAGCATCGATGGGGAATTGTTCGGCAAACACATATTCTACTATACGAGGTCACTGATACCAGGTCAAGGCACAGCTGTGCCCTGTGCTATTGTAACCGTCTGCAGTGACCTGACCTCTGGAAGTCAGGTCACTGAGGGTTACAATATGAAAATATCATGTGATGCATGTTTTATGGGCCATTGTAGATGACAAATGTGATATGTATGTAGGTCAGGCAGCCTGTGGGGCCAGTTTAGGTTATGTTCTGGTGAAGGTAAGGTCTGAGGTCAAGGTCAGGTAAAATTAGGTCAAAATTCAAACTTGATATTTTTGTAGGTAGGCATAAAATGGGTACCTATTGATTCGATGCAGCTCGTCACGGGGAGTCTCATTTTAGACTAAAAAAAATAAGACCACCATTCGCTAAAAATTGAGGTAAAAAAAATTGATTTTTCCGAAATCCGAAGAACTTTTGGGATTTTTTTTTTGTTTTTTTTTATAAAAAAAATATCAATTTTTATTTTGGGGGTCAAAATAACAAAATTTTCAAAATTCGGGATAGCAGTTTTGTAGCGCCGTCTATTCTCTGCACGACCACGTACCTAAAGAACTTTGAAATTGCTTGTTAACTGTAGCTTTTGTGAGCGTTTTAAGATTTAATGTTTTTTGCTCATTCTTGCTCGAACATGACCTCAGTTTGACCTTAATAACTCCTGACCTAAGGTGACCTAAGAATTGACATTTTGTGTGAAGGTGTCAAATTGACGCCCGGGAAGCTACCGAAAAATTGGTAGCGCTGCGCGCCGCCGTTTTCTTACTATTCAGGAACAACCGCAGGGGGGTCATATTGCCCCCTCCCCCTCCCCCCAGCGGGGCGAAGCTTAATTGTTGTAGGTATGTACTTCTGATTAGGAAATTGAAACGTAACATGTGTGGTCTCCCTCACCTATGCTTTGACGCATGTCCCATAGCTACAAATCACAATAATTCACAAGCAGTTGAATCATGAATAAATGATTGAAAGAATGCTGAATGGAGAGGTAGGTAGGTATCTGATGCAGAAAACCGCTTTTCGATCGGTCGAGTGGGAGTCAAGATAAGTAATTGTTTGTAAGAGGCCTCAAAAGAAAATGTGCACGGGGGTGCAAAATTGAAGACAGACTTTATTCGAATTTAATGAAAAGTGTGAAAAATTAACACAAATAGGTACACACGAATTGTTCAAAGCAAGTGTCGCGAAAGCTTTGGATAAAAGCGTTGAGTTAAATCTTTCCTACTTATTATGTAATTAGAAAGACAGTGGAAGGTTATCATATTTATTTAAGTCGTGCACGAAAGTTAAGATATCGCCGACGTATAATTGCATGCGTACCTGTGATTTTACTGTGTACCTACTTCCATGTTTTCATATTCGCGACTTCGTCACTTTGCGCTGACCGTGACGATCGGGCTACCGCGCCGCTCATCCTCCTCATCGACCAGGGAGATCCTGCGTCTGGGCGCCCCTCGCAGCGGCCCTCTGCTGCTCGTCTCACCGGGTCATGTGCTCGGGTACGACCCGCTGCTGAAGGTGGCTCGCTGGGTGTGTGAGCGTCTCGTCCAGGACGGTTCCGGCTCTGCCCGAGCCCACGGCCGCCGGCCCGGGTTCCGAGCCGACCCCCGTCTGTCCCCGCAGGCAGCCGCCCGACCGTTTGACCTGCGCGGCAGCGGCCTCAATCGAGGCCACCTGGCGGCGGCGGCCAACGCCACCTGTCGGCGCTCGCTGCAGTTCAGCTTCCTAATGTCAAACGTGGTGGCGCAGCCGGCGGCGGTGAACGGAGGCGTGTGGCGGCGCCTGGAAGGTCGCGCCCGCGCCCTGGCCGCATCAGGTCCGGTGTGGGTCACCTCGGGTCCACTGTTTGTGCCGAGGGCGGAGGCGGACGGCTCTGTAGCCCTGCACGTGCCTCTGGTGGGTGCCGGCCGGTTACCAGTGCCCACTCATCTCTTCAAGCTGCTCGTGTACCCCGGGAAGGGCGGCCGGCTCACCTCGGAGGCGTATGTGGTGCGGAACGGACCCGAGAACGGCGCGAAGGCGCTCCGGGAGTGCACTGTCACGGTAGAGGAGCTGGAGCGGCTCAGCGGTCTAAGGCTGCTGCCCCGGGTCCGCAGGAGCGACCTGCACCAGCTGACCGCCGCAGACTTGTGACCCGACTAAAACGAGACCTGATACCTTCATCTCTGCTGTTTACGGATTATAAAGTGCACTGTTCAAAAGAAAATAAATACCTGCAGTCTGCACAATCTCTTTTATCTTACAAGATCTTGATTTTAATTGACCTAGAGCGGTCGCCAGTGTTATGCTGAGATAATATTTAAGTTGGTATAAACGTAAAATGCGCTTGGTAATTGGTATTGGTAAAAGGAATAGGTATTGGTATATTGGTAAAAGCATATTCGATGATGATACGGTTTGTATCATACATGCATAAATAGATTCGATTGTCATCAGGAAACAAAATAATCGCAGGGTTCACGAACACTGTCTCAAGATCACATGTGGCGGGATAGGCACCCTTGCCGTCAGGTCAGCCACCTTCTGGCGCTGCCCCTCGGTCAACGCGCCCTGTGGCCTCGGCTGACCTTCCGTGGCTGGTCAGCCGCAGCCGCTGCCGGCACCTCACCCACGCCGACCACCAGTCACGCCACGGAGAGAAGGAAGGATCTGGTGACGCGTCCGGCACGAGACGGGCGGCAGCGGGTGACGCGTCCGGCACGGGACGGGCGGCAACGACCTCGGGCACAGGGGGTCAGCGACCGGCTCAGCTGCACTGCTGTCAGCGACCTCAGATACGGTATGAAACTATGGACTGCACAGTGCACAGTGCACAGTACACATATGTCAGTGACCTCAGGTACGGCTACTAAGCTCTATTAGTAGCTGTAGCTCTGTTAGCTTGCAGGCATTTAATTTGTCGATAAATGTCAAAATTATAAAAGTTGACCTTTGATTGCATGTGCGAATGTGGTAATGCATTATATTTTTAGATTGTTAGTTGTTATGAAAATGACAAGAAGGGAAGCTGAATCCAGTTCACCAGGCTGCTAACATTGGATGCCAAAAAAATATTTGGACCTATTCGTGGAGCTTCATACCATAACATTTTACAAACTGCCTCAAGTAATGGGATATTGGAGTAGAGACATAAATCCAAATAAGTTCAAATGCACTGCGGATTGTACTGAAACTAAGATAAAATGCTGCAATATCTACCCTACATTGCCATCGAACGTTCTTTATTGAAATGTAGACGTCTTCGTTTTAAATGCTCACATTCAATCTCAAACCTACTATAGGTAGGTACCTATACCATTCCTAAAATCAATCCGGTGAAGCTATAGCTTGGTGTGCAAGGATAAAATGCAAGGATAAGGATATTGTATGCATTATCTGCAAAGCGCATAAGATGGCACAATATGACACAAAGTGCACGGTCTTTCGCCCCCATGTTCAAACTATACGTCGTTTTTTTTTTAATTAAAAAATAAATATTACAAAAGAAACTCAAAGCTCTACGCAGTTATCAGTAAATAAAATAATCTTCATAGGTAAGACAGCTAAATACGTAAGCTTCAATGAACTTTTATGCCTTGATCAGTGATCACGAACGGTATGCATAGCAATATAAATTATGCACCAACGTCCGGCGTTGCGTAAGTCGTTATGTGCGAGCCGAGGTATGCGGCGCGCTTAAAATGAAAAGGTAACGCACCAAGTTCTCGGGGACCCGAGCCGACTCTTAAACCGTTCTCTGTACAGAAGGCACGGCCAGGCGGCTTCCCTCGAGCCCGGGGCCCTGTTTGGTATTCTGCGGCTCGCCTGATCGGCAGTGTTGCGGCAGGGGTGTCGTTAGGGCTCCACACCTGGGCCCGATCTTATAAATGCCGTAAAATCGATTTGTAGCACTGGCTGGGGTTCAGCTACAGAAAACGGAGCTGCTTAATGCAAAATGGTTTTTACGGATTTTAGTCCATCGTATGTATATTGACGGTCTCATGAATCGTTTCGCTGACTGATCGCATTTGCCAGTTCACTGATATCACTGTACATATGTAGATGTTAGCAAATACCATGAAAATACCATGAATTACGACACTTACGACATAAGATTGGAGCAACGCCTTACGGTGCGTGTAACTTTTGTTGCCTTAGGTATACTCGAGTGGTATAAATACACGGGAGTTCATGGGGCCGATCTCACGCGGGAGATATCAGTCTTCACTGTCCCTGCCGGCTGCCTGGCAAACAGGCTGACGGAGCCCACCAACCAAGTCTGCGTTAGCAAAGCCCCAGTAGCTATAGGACAAAACAAAACTCTTGAAATGCATATTGGCCTACATACTAAGTAGGCAACGTAAAAAATAATAATATTAGCTCTATCATAACTCACTAGTACGCATGCAAGTGCATAACTAGCGAGTGCGAAAGCGTTACTGCAATATCACGGACCTCATCCCTCGCCCGGTCATTTAGCTGGTGACCTTTGGCAAGCCCCGGATATGATCCACAGATGCATGTCGACCTGATCCAGTAAAGCCGCTGTGCCGTTGATTAAGAGCTGTCCTCTCATGGTATAGCACCATCGTCAGTGATGCGCCGATAGAGATAGTGTCGGGTGGAGCTGGATTTCTGGGTACTTTGGCACTTGGCAAGACCCAAACTTTTCTATGTGGCTTTTCAGACACGTTTGGATGAAACTCCGATATCACAACCTCTAGAGGAAGGCTTCCCAGTTTTATGTAACGTCTAGAAATCTGTTGATTGGGTGAGAAGCTGTGCATGTGGGGAAGCGCCACCGGTCGGTGCCGATCTCGTAGTTAAAGTTAGTCAAAATGAGCAGTGTTGCATACGGGTGGAGCATATTCTAGGTAAAAAGGTGTAACTTGAATTCATAGCTATGTAAATTAAGGAATGCAGTCTGGTGCTCAATGCTCATGACTATGAGTACGACTATTCAAAACGTACATATATTTGACAATTAGGCCTTTCATATATAAAGAAAAGTATTGATGCTTAAACGTTAAGTCCGTATGATAACTAGATACGTGCAATGACGAAAAGCTACTGATTGCAGTGGACTCGTTGTGAATAAATAAGTTTCAAGTTTCAAGTTTCAAGTTACTTAAGTTGCCGTATGCTCCATGAACGAGTGCAGAGTTGGTACCAAGATAATGCAACATTCAGCAGGTTAATTATTGGTTTTCCGCCTCAGACCAGCGTGGTATGAATATCAACGTAAATGCTTGGCAACCCGGTACACAAACGCTGCTTCGAAATGGTGAGAATCATGCTTTATACACAGGAGTTCATGACAGCTGCTGGCTCAATTAGCTCGAACAACGGCCTCGCAGCGACTGAATGGAGCTTCCTGACAATGAAACTGCTGCTAGACCCGTGAATTGCACTGGCAATTTGCATTACGACCCTTGGAATCGTAGTGCCCATAGGCTGAACTATACACGCACATTTCGACATTGATAAGTCTCGAAGTCGTCGATTTTTCTAAGACATTGTCCCACTGGGTGAATCATTGCCCAATGAATGTTAGTCCTGACAGAGAGTTTGGACTCGTATTCGGTTTAAGTACAATATAATACAAATAAGTCATCCGATCTCAGGTCTTTGCACCCAAGTTTTCGTGTCATCCCGCATTTTGTCTTGCCGTGAGTCCGTTGCTCTCTGTGCACGTGGGAGTATAGGAACGCGGCGGCGGCGGTAGGGGCGGCGGCGCGCGCCTCGTGATGCTGCCTCCGACCAGGTAGCCGACGGCCTATATAGCCGGAGGACACGGGGGCCCGGTCACTACAGCGCGCGGTGTGGACTCGATACACGGGCCGGCGGCAGTGGCGACACCACGGCGGACCGCTGACAGCTCGGAATCGTGGACAGAGGAGACAGACCAGGTGAGCCCGGGCACTGGATAGGTGCTGTGGGTCTCAAGGGGGGGGGAGGGGCGGGGCTGGGACCACTGGATTTGGTGATACGGCGGGGGATTAGGCGTTTAGACGTGCCGTAACAACTTGAACTAACATGCGTAACTATGTAAAAACAAACAGCGGACGAACTGCAATTGGCATAAGCTTTCTGAAACATCAAACAGGGTCTACCAAGCATAATTCCGTAGATTCTATAAAAGGTGTGCATAAAAGGTGTGTAGAGTCTCTGGTAGACCATAAAATGGTACCTAGGGGAGAGTGGGGTAATTTGGCCGGTGGTGTAAATTGGCCGCCCCCACCTGTACGATGTCTAATAAAAGTGAGTGAAATAACTCTAATCTCTATTCATTTGTCATGGGTAGAAATAACTGGAGGACAAATGTCAAAACTTTGCCCCTCGTAGTTTTATTCAAAATTAATAAAACGTTAATTTCATTAGAAAATGGTAACTTTTACTTCTGTTTACAAAGTTGTATAACATGTAGTATTTGGGCTAAAAACGAATTCAGACATTATAGCGCCATTCTTGGGGGTGTTCAGCGGTTCCAAGAGCAATTTTATCTAATTCCGTAAAGCCGTGATGACTTTATAGACAAAAATTTTCAGAATGGCAATATGGGGTAATTTGGCCGGGACTAGCGGGGCAACTTGGCCGGTGCGCTCATGGTCACTATGCTGGGACGGCCGAGTTTTCATGGTCAATTGTACCATAAATGACATGATTCAGGGCCTCCTCTAAGGATTTTTCACTGGGTGGGCAATTTTTTTTTCGCCGCTCCATTGCCTGAGGGCGGATCCAGCCACTTGTTTTGGGGTTCAACCAATTTCAAAACCTGTGCCGGGGGGGGGGGGTGAGGCGAAATAAGCTGTGCCATTATCCCGGCAGGCGGTGGGCCTCCCGGCCACCTTCCGCGCGGTGGGGGGGGGGGCATTTTTTTGCCCCCCCCCGTATCTCCGAAACTACTGGACGGATCCGGAGAATTCAAACAGCGTTCGATAGCCCTGTCAAGTTTGTTGAGAGTAACCAAATTTCATTGACCTCGAGGTCACCGATGACGTCACAGGTCAGGTCAAAGATAAAATGTTTCACCGTTCACGGGGCTTCTAGGGAAAGCGCTATAACACCGAGTAAAACGCATTTTGTCGATAATCAGCGATAAGGCGTCAATTGTCTAGTACATATGTTGCTATTAGAGGTCACTGGTCATACCAGGTCAGGGCACAGGTCAGGTCACCAAAGGTCACCAAGGGTCACCACATGAACCCGACTTTACTAAGGTTGTGCGATGCATGTTTTATGGCCAGTTTTTCATTTCCAACTCAATGGTATTGGCTATAAGACCATCAGGTACGGTTTAGGTCACTTTCTGGTGGAGGTCAGGTCAAGGTCAGGTCAAAAAAGGTCAAATTTCAAAGTTGATATTTTTGCATAAAATGGGTATCGATTCGATGCAGCTCGTCACGGGGAGTCTAATGGTGGTCTTTGTTTTGCGCTACGAGGTCTAGAATTGCTAAAAATTGAGTTTGCAAATTTGACGCCATCAATTTTGAACAGTTTTTTTCGCTATAACTTAGCTAAAAAAAGAGGTATTGATCTCAAATTTGCTATGTAGATAGAAGGCGGTAGGGACTATCAGATAGGTATATTCCGGTTTTTTCGAAATTCAAAAAACTTTTGGATTTTTCGGCTATTATATTCAAAAAAAAATATTTTTGGGGGTCAAAATCCAAAAAAAATCGAAAAACCGAAATAGCAGTTTTGTAGCCCTCTTAATTTCACACCTTTTATGTCGGAACATTTTTCTGTATCTCTAAAGCTGTAGGCCTGACAGCTCTTCCCGCGAAACCTTTTTTTGGGTCGAAAATGGCAAAAACGGCGTCACTCTGACGTCATTAGCGGCCAACCTATCATAGCCTTTGGAAAAATTTTTGGTCACCATGTGCGCTAGCTACTCCCGGGAGGGTACTGAAAGTTTGGTGACGATCGGCGCAGCGGTTCTCGAGATATATCGAAAAAACTAAGGGGGGGGGACAAAAAATGCCCCCCCCCCACTGCCTGGAGGGGGATTGGAAACAAGATGATAGTTTGCAAAGATAACGTTTGTCGTGTGTTTTATTTTTATCCCTCGCCGGCACAGGCCGCTTTGCGTCCTTCGACGGCGCAAGGGGGGGTCGAACCCAAGCGCAAGGGGGGGGGTGTTTGGCCCCTAATTGAGCTAGAGCCTCGCGGAAAAAAAAAACATCGTGTAGGTCATCACGAGACGAACCCAACGGTACCCAGTTTTAAGGTCATAGTTCAAATGGTGACCTCTGAGGTAAGGTCAGGTCGTCAATGAACCAAAAGTCGAGAAAATCGGGATCTGTTAGAACGTCGTAGTGTGGCTGTTATGGTTTTTTTCGGGTTGCTGATCACGAATATCATGTTATTTGTGATGACAGCTGATATCTTCATGCATTTAGGCCAGGTCGGGTCAGGACTCAGGTCAGGTCAGGTCAACCAGTAGGGGTCCTGCCGGGTATTCGTAGTACGTGTCAAAAGCCTCTGACAGCTTCGTAACATATTATGAAGGCACCAAAACTACTTCGTAAATGCTCAAATGGTTGCCTAATTCGAATTCAGCTAAAAAAAAACTAGCCTAGAAACATATAAAACTCGAAAAAGTGAACCGAGGTCATCAAAGGTCAATAACCTGACCTGACCTTCAGGTGACCTTGACATCCAACCTAATGCATGAGACCAACATCATATCACATGTTTGAAAGCCTGAAACCACGAAAAGACTGCAAACGCTCGACTAATGCGAGCCGAAGTAGGCCGAATTGCGATTCCGGCTAAACCTGAGGCCTCTTGCACCAAACTACCTAGCTAGGTAAAATCGAAAAACCGGTTTCAGAATAAGCTAATCTAACGGTGGTAAATTTGTTTGCAATAGCCCAATACATAATCCTACATGTGCTTGCAAAATTTTGCATGCAAATTGTTACATTTGAGACTTGGACTGGGTATACGATGCAAAATAATCCAAGCATTGGTGCAAGAGGATTTTGGTGCAAGAGGCCTCTGGTCTCGAAAAGTAACTCACAGGTCAAAGGTCATTTGGGTCAGGGTCATGAAATTTTCAGGGTAGGTGTACAATTGATTAACTCGAAGGTACTGCAAGTTTCGTCGCTATCGGCCGCTTTCTACGCGATTTATTTGCGAAAAAAGAAACTTAGGGGTTTGCAATGCATCACCCCGCCCCCTGTGACGGCTAGGGTTATAGTTAGCGATGCTCGTGACGTCTATTTGTTCCAGATTACATGTACATTGTACAGGGTGTTGCAGGTAAATTGGGAATTTTCAAACCTAATTTCAACATGCTATTAATACGGTGAATGAAAACATAGAAAGTTGAAACTTCGCACGTGTATTGTGTCATGTACGCACAGCCTTGTCACTCGATGTGACCGCCGTCGGCGTCCCGCACCCTCTCGAGACGGCGTCGGAAAGCGGAGCACGCGCGCCGGGCCTCGTCCTGGTCAATGGTGCTGACTGCCTTCCTGATGGTCTTCTTCAGGTCAGAAACGTTGGCATGAGTGGTCGAGTTGGACTTTTGTTCTACCACGCCCCACATCCAGAAGTCGCATGGATTCAAGTCAGGCGAGTTGGAGGGCCATATGTCCTTGGGTACATAAAGGGGGATCCTCTGGCTCAGGAAATCTTGCACCCTCTGGGAAGCATGTGCTGGGGCGGAGTCTTGCACCAGCATGACTTTGCTCAGGTCATAGTATTTCATCATCCAGGGGATGAGAGACTCCTTCAGGATGGTCAAATACGCGTCAGTGTCGATCATCACACCAGCAGGTATGAAATGGGGCGGCATTATGCGGCCATCACTTGCGACGGCCCCGAATACCATCACTGATGCCGGATTTTTGCCTTTCATCACGGGAGCCACTTCATCAGGGCTGTAGGCGATAGCCCGCGAGTTCCGGCGGTTGGCGACCTCTTCTACGATGAACTTTTTCTCATCGACAAATACCCTGACGTCACTCCCGAGGTGCTTGAGGAGATTGAGGACCTTCGGTGCCCTCTCCCTTCGCATCGCCCTTGCTGGTTCGGTCAGGAGGCTTCGTCGTTTTCTGGTAAACGACTTCATCCCGAGGTCCTCTCTCACGGCTCTGCTGATGGTGCTCTTGCTCACGTGACGGGCACGCGCAAGCTTGTTCATCGAGGTCCTCGGTTTGGCCTGAATCGAGCGTTTCAAGCCGCTCAGGAATGTTGGTGTCCGTTTTCGGTCACTGCGAGGTGTGTGAGAACGTCGAGCGACATCCCCTCCAGCTCCTACGGTCGCGATAGTTCGGTACACGGTAGACTTTGGGTACCCAGTTAAACTTATTATGTCCTTCGCACTCTGTCCGGCGCGAACTAACTCACCAATCGTTTCCCTCCGACGCTGCTCCATGACCTGCGCGATATGTTAGGATTAAAATTTCAATATCAAATGAAAAACAATTGTTGAAATTATATTGTGTCAAATTTCCATGATGTTCCTCCGCATAGCAAATTTTTTGTAAGGTCATGAACTTAGTCCCAATTTACCTGCAACACCCTGTACATGCCTATTCACTCACGAGACAATTACTTTTTTTACAAATACCGATTAAAACCCAATGCCGTGAGAGGGATGCTACCTGGGCTTATAGATGCAACAGCGAGTTAGAGCTCCTAATTTACAAGCCTCACCGGTCGGACCTTTATTTTTACATTTGCTTCTGGGTGGGCAAATCGACGCCACTGGGTGGGCAATTGTGGTGACTGGGTGGGCATTTGCCCACCCAGTGGGTATGTTAGAGGAGGCCCTGACATGATTCATGACCAACTTTGACTGCTTTGATGCCTACTTCCGATTGGTCAACTGTAAGAGCATGTGACGTCATCAAAGGTTACCAAACGTTTTCTGCTAATAAATCCTTACATAAAAATG